AACCGAACACGAGCTGTTCGCGAACGACGAGCCAGTTTGACATCCCTAATATTAATATATAAAAATAATATTATATATTAATTATATAACTTATATTATATAAATATTCAATATCTATATTAGTATATTACTGCTATAGTATATTAATATATTATTATTATTATTTTATTATATATTATAATTTACAAAATTTAATGTTCTAAAATATAATAAATTTTTTATCTATAATTATTTTATATTATTTTATATTTCAAACAATAACGATTCGAACATGAACGAACGCATCACTGTTCGTGTTTGGTTCGTTTAACTAAGCGAACGAAAAAAATTTGTTCGCGTTTGTCTCGTTTACTTATCGAACGAATCGAACACGAACTCATTGACGAACCGAACACGAACTGTTCGCGAACAACGAGCTTTTTTGACAGCCCTAGTCCTCGCACGTCTTATCCTTCCTTGGGTCGCAGATTGAGACAGCTCGCCACGCCGCTCCAAACTTAGGTTGTGGACATCTTGCCTAGTGGAGATGGTCTCGACGCTCCGTTCTTATGCCATTGCACTGGCCGGCGACATCCTACTCGTGCCCCTATTTCAGGTTCAGAGCCTGGTTTTGGTATCGGTAAGTCATGCATTGTTCCACAATCCTTCCACGAGGCTCTTGAAGGTGATGTGATCACACTTTCATTAAAAAGCTTGGTAAAAAAAGGAAACATGTTCTTTTTCTCTCTAAGGTTGAAACCAATACTATTGTGTTTTCTTGGTATTTTGCTATAGTGGGAAAAATTTTTATGGTCGCCCTAAACATGAGATCATTGGAAAAGATTTTGATGCTATGAAATTATAGGGTAGTTGGAATATTGGCTTACTTGATGGTCGACATATACTTATTCAGTTATCTCACGATGTGGATTACGCTCGTTTTTTTCTCGAAAGTAATCAAGATTGATAACCGTTTTATGAAAATCCTGAAGTAGACTGTCGGCTTTGATCCAAAAGCGGAGTCCCCTATCATTCCTGTTTGGATAAAGTTTCTGAGGTTAAAACTACACATATTCAACTTTGAAATTTTCTACTCCTTAGCAACTGCTTACGATAAGTCTCTTAAGGTTGATAGTCCTACGCGTGTTGTCACCAGACCCTCTGTAGTTTGTGTGTTAGTTGAGATGGATATCACCCAACCAGCTCCGGATGAGGTATGGATTGGATCCACTCACAACGGGTACTGGAAAAAGGTTAAAATAGAATCACACCCTCCTTATTACTCTAATTGTAGTATGTTTAACCACAGTTCTATTATTTGCTATCGCTTGAATTCTCAATTAAGGCTGGATATTGCTAAAGAACAACAACCTATTCAAAAATCTTTATTTTAAGAATTGGGGTGGACGTCTTACCACCTACCATCCCTGCTGAAGAGGTGCAACCTGACCCTCTTTTCAACACTGCATATACCTCTGCTCATCTGACTGACGCGGTTACTGATGAGAAATTTTCTGATGACCCTCTTAATCAAATCTCTGTTGTCTCAGATGAAAAACATCTCATGCTTTTGAACACTCTATTTCAGCTGTTGGATTGAAGAATGGTACTCTGGATTCTCATGAAACATCTTCTTATACTACTATTACTGATCCAAACGTGTCTATACCACTCATTGTTATTGAAGAAGACTTACTTACATGCTAAGACACACGAGAGTGCTAATTTGATCCAATAAAATATCAACTGATACAATAAGTAGATGTTTCTAATGTTCAACATCCTACACATGTCCACACTTTAGACCAATCCACTGATCAGATGAGCCATTCTTCGGATGAGGAATGACATGTCTATTCTAGGAGGAAGAAGAAGAATGAAGGCCGACTCGATGTGTGTGTGTGTGTGTGTGTGTGTGTGTGTGTGTGTGTGTGTGTGTGTGTGTGTGTGTGTGTGTGTGTGTGTGTGTGTGTGTGTGTGTGTGTGTGTGTGTGTGTGTGTGTGTGTGGGTGCGTGTGTGTGCGGGTGTGTGTGCGTGTGTGGGTGTGTGTGTGTGTGCGTGTGTGGGTGCGTGTGTGCGTGTGTTACCTTTTTATGTGTTGGTTTAAAGCATCAAAATACTGTGTGTGTGTGTGTGTGTGTATGTGTGTGTGTGTGGGTGTGTGGGTGTGCGTGTGTGGGTGCGTGTGTGGGTGCGTGTGTGTGTGTGTGCATGTGGAGGGTGTGTGGGTGCGCGTGTGTGGGTGCGTGTGTGTGTGCGTGTGTGTGTGTGCGTGTGTGTGCGGGTGTGTGTGGGTGCGTGTGTGTGTGGGTGCGTGTGTGTGCATATACATATAGATATATATATATGTATGTATATGTATATGTATCTATATACATATACATATAGATATATATATGTATGTATGTATATATATAATGTGTGTGTGTGTAGCTAAGCAAACCATCTAATTAAATAAACTCTAATTTGAAGTATACAGTACCAGAATTAAATAAAATGGTCATAAAACTGAAAAAAGAACTCACTGTTCCCATGTTGCACAATAAAATGGGACAACTGCAATTACCCAAAACCAGAATGTTGTCCTTCCACACATGGAAGTACTTCCAAAAGCTAATGTTTCAAACTGAAAAAAAAAATCAAAAGATCAATGTGCACTAACATAAATTCAGAAGCATATAACGATTTAAAAGAGGGAACTATACATACTGCACAAGCAAGAGCATCGCATCCTGCAATAATATTGTAGACGTATGAGAAACAAACAATAACAAACAACAACAACAACAACAACAACAAAAAAGAGTTAGGTGAGTAACCATGATCAAAAAGTTCTCCTAATGGGCTTGAGGAGTTTGTACGCCTTGCTTGTTTACCGTCAACAGCATCAAATGTCTGGCACAAAAAATTTAATAGAACATTTGCTTTACATAAACAATTGCATCATTCTTAAAACAAGATTGTAAAAAATAGATTATCAAAGTATGGTCCTCCATAAGTACAAAAAAGAAAACAGAAAAAGGAAGCAAAACAGTTTCTCCCTTCCAGGGGTGTGGGTTTGAAGATATAGATCAATATTTTTTAGAACATATTTCAGAATCATTTCGTATTTCACCAAAAAGGAAGAAAAATAGTTTTTTTTTCCCTTTAATACAAATCTGGTGAACCTAATATCCTGAATATGCCAGATTTGGGGGGCCTACATGGAGGCAACAAAGACAGAATTCATTAGAAAAGATGCACAATAGAAGTTAAAAATGACCATAATTAGTTTCCTGCTGTCGATATAACTAAGTCCAAGTAATTTGCCCAAATTTATTTAGCAAACAAAATGACGTAAGGTAAACTAAATCAAAGCAGAGAAAGATGAAATAGTAGAAAGAAGATAATTGACAGTGATCAGAATTTGAAGTTCAAAAAGAAAACGTTCCAAAATTCTTACTTCGGTAAATTTTGTCTAGATGGCAGATAACAACACAAAAATCAACCCTGCGTCTAGTATGGTACGGGAATGATAAAGACTCCAGGTTACGAAAAATTGCTTATATTATTTTTCATCGAAGTCACCTCTCAAGAATAAATTTGACCACATTTCTTGCTGTGTAGATTCCATTAATTTACCAAAGTTTTGCCAAAATGCAAAACTGACAACGATCCTCTATATTACCATAAATTCTTTTATAAAAATGATTAATAATGGCACTATGCACCCAATACAAATATATAAAAAACAACACAGATGATTACTTTATGCCAAACCTTATGCTACACGTAATATAATACACTGAAAAATCCGTATAATTTACAAGTAAATCCTAATCCCACAACTACTAAAAATATTAGAATTCTTCTCTTACTAAATAAACACATGAAATCATCACTGCAAATCAGATCAGCTCACACAATTATTAATGCATGGTTAAATATGGATAAAATATTAGTTATGAGCTAAAACTCCCAAAAGTTGGAATATTTTTTTCCTAATCATGCATTAGTAAACAGCAATCAAGAATTAACTATCCTTCTCAAATATACTAATCTTCTCTTTAACCAGGGTTTAACAGTTTTATTAGTAATAATAATCTTATTTAGTTTAGGATGCTTTAGGATTTAACTTCATAATGCAATTAGATGATGTAAGGGATGAAATCACATAAACCAAAATTGACGTTCACTATGCCAAAAACTGCCGATTAAGACAGAAACTCACCCCTTTGAATGTAAACAGAAAAGTATCAAATTACGTGTCAAGGATATTTTAATAAAAACCAAATAAAATAAATTCAAAAAAAAAATTTAAAACCATAAGAAACTTCAACTCGAATAAGATAACATTGCACAAGCAAAAAAAAAGTTGTAATGGATTTGACTAAACTCTATCACTTCCTTGAAAACTAACAATGGAATGTGCAAAAGAACGTAGAACAAAACAACTAGCTACCAAGCACATAAAATTCAGGTCTCATGGCAATGCAAGGAGATGAATTCCCCTTGAAATTGGAAGTTGCACTTCTATACCCATCAAATGAATTACCAACAATCAAGCATAAGAGATTGAATACAATAGAAAATCTTATTTAAAAAAAAAAACTCCTATAAGATGACTCAATATTTAATATTTATAAGTATCTAATTCCCTTCTCTTTGAAGTCCACTTCTTTAAATTCTTATCGGCTCAAAATCTGCAACTTCATGTAGATCAAGGTTTGAAGACGCTATAAAAAAAGAAAAAAAAAACCAAAATTCAAGTGTGGGCATCATCAAAATAATAGCAGATATGTTTTATTGATTACACATAATAAAGGAGAAATACAGGACTAGATGTAGTGAGGGCTTATGCTACAGAGACTTGCCATCAACGGTTGAAGAGAAGCAAATTTGCTATAATATCAAATCACAATCATAGAAATTAAAAAATAAATATTCTATTTAACAAATACATCTAGTTGAAACTTAATAGGAACCGCCAATTAATGCTTATCCATAGGATTATATGAGTAACAACAGCACATAGTATGTTTATTAGATTTTTAACATAGGAAAGAAAACAATGATAGCCACTGTTAGTGTCCCAAAGTAACAAGAGGGAAGTAAATCACGAATTCCTTGAATCAATACCTCCGGCAACAATTCTACTCCCATGTCTATCCTCATGAGTTTCAACTTCAACCCTTTAATGCCCAGATAAATAAACCTTGCATTCTCCACAGAAGGTGGTCGCTTCATCATCACACTTTTGCTTGTGAATGACTAGCACTGCTACTAATCCACAACATGCATTGCTCAACCTCAGTGTGCTTGTCATACCACTGCGCCCACCACACCTATCCCATATGCCGGCGCCAGTTACAACTTTGAGCTGATCATGTTTTTTGTGTATGTTGCATGTGTGCATGATGTTCCACCTACATCCTGATCTTCTAAGTTCGTTTCTCCCAATACACATCATATGACACTAGTGGCTTAGATGGCATTTTGTCTCCACCAGCTTTTATGATGTCCAACTTTGATCTCACTTCCTAGTACCATAGTAGTACCCATTGCAGGTACCTTCTAGTCCGTGCTTAGTCTTTGCGATCAATCTCTACAAGTCATTTCTTGATAGTTTGACAATTGTTAATGGGCCAATTGCTCCTTCACCTTGGACTCATGGAAACACTTGCTTTCTTCCTCCCATGATAGCTCCTATAATTTTGTTTTTTTAAGCTGTGTAAGGGTCTTCTTTGCAGCCAGATCCACCCATCAATTATCCTTTATTCTTTTAGCATGGCTTAATCTTTGCAAGTCGCAAGTGGCATGCTTCTAAAGCAAAGATTTCTAATATGATGCACCATTTACCTACTCTTTTAATAAAAAAATTTCCTTTCGCCGTTCAAAGCCTCATCATCTGAAGCCTCCTCCTTTCCCACCACCCGATCATCTGTCATATAAGAAAGCCGCATAGTAGAACCACTTGCCCAAGAGCCTCCACTGCCCTAAGCCGAAGCAGTCGAAGCAGTTTCTAAATCAAGCCCCCTCCGAGTCCAACCCAAATCCGGCCAACAAGCTGAGCCTTTTTTTTCACAATTTACTATTAAGTTTTTTATATTGTGTATCGTATTTTAAAAAGAAGTGAAAAAGAGAAAGAAATTTTTATTGTATTTTAATTTTATCTTTTTGTCATTATCACTTCAATTCCCCCAACCTCGAATAATGAAATGTGCAATTGGGCAGCTTTTAAAATATTCATTGGAGGAAACTCGAGCATCCGTCCCTGGGAATAAAGCACGGTTCAAAGAAATTGCAAAGTCGTATGAAATTTTTTTATAAAATTAAGTTATTTAAATGGTCGTCCAGAGAAATGTGAGTATTTGTTCTAGGGAATTAAGTATCGTTCAGAGAAAGTAAAGTACCGCTCGAGAAAATGTTTGCTTTTGATTTGACCGTTTTTCAAGTACGTTTAACGAAAATAGTGTTTTTTAAGATCATGAACTAAATACATATTTTATCTCCCTGATAGTAGTATCTCACGACACTAATCAACAAATTTTTTCATACAATTGGGAAGATTGGCGTTCTCCTGTGCTCTCTAACTAGAGTTCACATTGGCAGGTTGACGAAATTATGGGAGATTTGGACTTATAAATAACTTAAAAATTTTGGACTTTCTGAACTTATTAGAAAATATAAAATGTGAATCATCTGAATTTTAAAGAAATTTGAAAAATATGAGCTTTTAAAATTTAGGCTCCAACAATCCAAAAACATCAGAACACTAGGCTTTTAAAAATTAGGCTCTTAAGATTTCAAAAATATTTAAAATTTTGGGTTTTTAAAATTTAGGCTCACAAAACTTAAAAACATTTAAAATTTAGGCTCCCAGGATCTCTAAAATATTTGAAATTTTGGGCTTTCAAACTTAGGCTCATATAAGTTAAAAAATAATTCAAATCTTGGGATTTCAAAATTTGAAAATTGTGCCACCGGATTAGCAATACAACTGCTAGCGAACAGAAAGCGAATCATTTAAAGCCCAAAAATGAAACAATCAGTACATAACCATTAAGTTCCAAACGATTTCAAAGTATATTAATTTCAAGATTATTTATTAAATACAATGTTTTGAGAGCTATGAGAGTACTCTAAAACTAGCATGAGGAAACATTTTGATATTCTCAAGTTATGTACATCTCAGGACCTTTACATGAATGAGTCAACTATATATGATTATAGATTTCTGCATATGCCCTTTTGAAAAAAACTAGTTCTCAAATTCATATTTTAAAGATCATCCAAATTGTTTAAAGCCTATCAAATTATTAAAATAATACAAACATATAAAATCATACAAGCATGAGCTCCGACAAAAATTCTAAATATTTTAACTAATAGCTTAAAAAAGTAATGAGGGTTTAGACAAAACTTGTACTCAAATAATTCATATTTTAAAAAGCAATCCATCGGCTCACTTTTTATATAGGACAGTGTTGTATGTCCCATCCAACTAGTATGATCTTCTTCCTCGTCAGATCTAGAATTGACAAATCTATTAATTTTGAAATAAATGTTGAAATCATAAGATAAGAATTTGCAAGTCCAAATCATCTAGTCTAATCCTCCTTAAAAGGATAGAAATCGACATGATTTGCCTTCTAAAGATATCAAAATTAATAAATTTCAAATCAATTACAAACACAATATTTCCCGATGATGGTTGTTGCCTGAAAATTTCAACCGGAGTCAACCTTTAGAGTAACAAATTAAACATAAAAAAAATTAATCACCTAAAATTTTAAAAAAAATCTTATTCATCCTTCGCACCAGTTTCTCGAGGGTAACAATTTTTTTATCGACTTCAGCTTATAAAGAGTAAATGTCACATCAAATGTATTAATATATTCACAATATAATGAATT